TAAAATGGAGTTAAAAAATTTCAGAAAATTTTATTGATATAATAAGACGTTACAATGTTTTTAATGGTATAACTAACCATTATTACATATAATTAATTATTTTTTTTATTACAATCCTGTCCATTGGACTTGGCTATAGTATATATCAATACAATTTAATTTTAATATGGTATACTTACAATATAGTTTAGTTTGTTTTTAGGGAAAAAGTTACAAAAAACCTAATAAGATATAAGTTAGAAAATTTGCTAATTAGAACGTCGATATACACAGTATATCTCTATGTACCATCTTATCCTTACCAGCAAAACTTTCTACGCACCTAACGACCCAATAAGCCCTTAAACTTTTTACTGCTTTCCCTCAGCACAGCTCAGCTCTTTATGTTTCTCTCAAGTGACAAACTTATTAAAGCAAGAATAAAAAAATCACCTGAGATATTATGAATCATTCAGTTAATCCTCTCTTTAAACTTATTAATCATCACTCAGTACCGACTCTATTGTAACTTGATTTTAAGCTCCCTGGTGACTCGTCACAGCTCCATTGGCTTTGTTGTCGATTGATCAAAAGAAACGCCTATAAAAAAGCAATAAATTAAAAAAAATTTTGATATTTTAAATTGATAAAAAAATATTTTGCAAAAATTATAAAAAATCAGAATTTAAAAAAAAAAAAAATAAAATAGATCTACGTCGACGAAAGTATGAGTGAAGCTTGAACAAGAATGGGAGCCGTAAGAGGGAGAAATAACGTGTGTGAATCGTGAACGAGAGTTGCGTTACAGAGTGAGAGCTTGGGGTGTACGAAGCTCGCAGCTGGGGGTGGTGAGCTTTTTTAACAGATACTCGCTCTCTGGTGGTAGTGAATCCATGTCGAGAATGCGCGCGCTACCCCTTTTAGTGAGCTCTTCTTTCTTGCTCGCGTAATTTAATCGCAACAGAATATCACTCGGCAGTCAATTCCATACCACCAGTATCAGTACCAGTACCAGTAGAGCAGCCAGTGGATGCCACTACCGCGCAAGCTGAATGCAGTTTACTGTCACTTTGCAACCCGTACAGACAGCACTCAGATGCACCAGATCCGTCTAACCGGTTGGATTAAGCCCTCGAGCACTGTTAGTTTTACAATTGTCGTTCGGCTCAATATATTCTGTCAAATTTACAAAGCACCTGTGTAGTTGTTCAACTTACACTTCTGATATTTTATTATCTGGTGAGTTTTTATTTTGTTTAAAATTTTTTTAAACAAATTTTTTTTTTTTTTTTAAGCCACATAATTATTAATAATTAGTACATGAATGTTTGTAATAAAATAACATGTTTCTAGGTAGTAACACAATACTTTGTGAGAGAGGAAGTATGTCGTAAGGTGGATCATCATTAAATCGTGAGTATATGATATCACGAATAGAAGTAAAACGGATTAGATTATATTTTACATTATATTGCATCCGACACACTAGAATATAGTACGCTCTAGCGATAATCAGTGTTGTGGAGATACGAGACTTTTATATATTTAATTTTATTTTTAAGATTCTTAGTCGAAATCTAAATATTATTAATTCTAGTAATTTATAAACTTTTTGATTAAAATTTTTTGATTAAAAATTATTTTTACTTCGTTAGATATTTTTATCTTCCTTAATATTTTTTTTAAGGCAGTTTTTTCTTCCGTATGTGAGTTAATGATAAGCCGAAAATTTTTTATGTGATTACTTAATATTAGCTTCATGTTTTAAACTTGAAATAAGTTTTTTTTTTTTATCAATTTTACACAAGTATAAAACACAATCATTTTTGTCCGCATTTGCTACTCCAAAATTGAAATTTTCACTAACAAAAATAATACTTAACAAAACTCAGATTCTTTTTGTAATTTAATTTAATGAAAAAAAATTGACAGAACATCAATTTGTAAATAGAAGATACATTGATAGCAAATTTATTAGGAATAAAAATTATCAGTGAGTAATAAGAGTAATAAAAATTGCCACAAAAAAAAAAAATCAAGATCAAGTTTTTTGCTATTTTGCAGCTACTGGCAGCTGGGGTAATTTTTATTATTTTTATTACATGTAACTTACGAATGTTTGACTTATAATTAACAATTATAATTTTTATAATGCATATAAATAGTATTTAAACTTTTATTGATAAATTTTTTCATTTAATTTTTACTATTACAATATTTATTCTTTATCATTTATTAAATATATAAATAATAAATAACAACCACTTATTATACGAGTTACTGTACTCTGTACTACTTAATATAGTATAATAATTATAATATACAACTATAAAGAGGGAATAAGTCGACACTACTTAGACAAGAACCTTTGAAAATTTAATTTGTTTTATGAATCTATAATAGATCGTATACCTTAACTACTATATCTAGATGAGCTAACATAAAGTATTTATTTATTATTATTATTATTAATATTTTTTTTATTTTAAATATTAATTATTGAAAAAAGGAATAATTGTTATACTATCGTGAAATTAAAATTAACACAAAATCTAAGTACATAAAAAGTGAAGGGAAAAATTTCGGATACACCAATTCTTTTTTCTTCGTGTTAAATTTTCTGGCATGACACACCCACGCACAAATTCAGACCTGTAGATCTCCCAAAGCTATCATCCTACGCTAAAGTATATATTGTTCGTTTCTATTATCGGTACTCAAAAAAAAGTTTATTTTAATTAACTTTACAATCGGAATTCGTGCATGGAATTTTAAATTAAGATTTAACAGAGAAACATGAAAGCGAGATTGATTTGAAGGTTCGAGTATTTATAAGAAAAAATGAGCGGTCGTATAAAAAAACTTGAAAGCTTTTACCTTGTACGAAAGCTTTTGACTGATGCACAGAGGCATTCAGTGTTCCGTGTGAATGGAGAGAGCTTCTCCGGCCTCAGATTCATCGAGGAAAGCAAAGAGGCTGCATCAAGCCAGATCGTTCGTGATGCAAGCTTTGATAATTCCTCGCATTACTCTACTCTGAGAAAAAGAGGTCATATTCTATAGTCATTTTATTAGTATCAATAAATCTCTAGATTATATAAATTTGGATTTTATATTTGATATTGATTTAAAAATATTTAAGCTTTGATATCTGACCTATAAAACTTTTTTTGGGCATTTTAACTTGGATATAACACACGAATAACTCTAAAAATATTATATAAAATTTATATGATTTTAAAGATTCATTATTAAAGAGATTTTATTATAAAACACAAATTTCTTGTAGACAGTTCAATAATTAAGCAGTAAAATAATACATTAAATTAATAGAGGTAATACATTGAAAAAAATGGTTGACTTGAATCAAGAGAATAATTCTTGAGCCAAGAAAAAAATTTTAAAGAGTTTCGTTGTCTTGAATCAAGTAAAATTTAAGATTTCTTAGTTTAAGAATTTTTCTACTCAAATCAAGAAGATAAACTTCTTTAAAATTATTTACTTGATTTTTTTTTTGTGTGTAGATAATTAGATTTTTTAAAAATTAAAGTATTTGTATTTATAATTTTTTTTTTTAATAATAATATTAAATTCTAATTCTTCAAGAATTTTTTAAATGATTATTATTGTTCATTGTAATTAATTTCCTTCCAGTGTTTTATTTTACACTTGATTTCCAACTTAAAAAAAAATTAAAATCAACTAATTATTATTTTTCCCTACAAATAAATTAAACTATTTAAATAATGAGAATATTATAAATAATTAATAAAATTCCATGAAATAATTGTTTCTAACAAACAGTAATTCCGTGTAACAAATTATTTATGTACATAATTTTGTTGTCTACAGACAGTTGCCTGCTATTGATTTAATAACCCTATTTTTCCGTACATATATGTATACAAATTCATTGATATATCAATAAAATGAGAATATCAGCATAATAAGCCGGATTATTAACTAGCTAACTTCGAAAAGGTTTAATATCTTCTTTATAATACTCATCCAAATCTAACTAAACTCTTTGAATCGCAAGTAAATAGTTAATAACTAATTGATTACTTAATACCACTGATGATTTATTTATGGCTATATATGACTATGACTTATGACAAATTGACCCGTAAAATTAGTCAGTAAGTATATTTACACTCAAAACTTCCCACATTTATTATATTGACGGTGGAAATACGTAAAAGCTTTTTATTTTCTTGACTGGTGAGTCTCAAATATAATACTAGTGCGCGGTATATAAGTATTATATCCAGCAAATTTTGTGGGGTAAGCATTCAGAGCACCCACGCACTAGACGGCCTATATAATAGCCGTAATAATAATATTACGTGTAAGTCGTAGATAGAACGCTCACAGTTGTTATGGTTAACATAGGGTTGACATGAAGAGAATAAGATAGACTTTTAGATACAGATAGATTTCTGTTGACTTTATTGGGGAAAAGTCGAGTGAGAAAGACTTATGTAAGAGTAAATAGTAAACTAGTTAGCAGTAAGAGAGGGAAAGTGCTTACTTTGATGAATGGAAAGGGAAACGGGGGTTTTTAGGCTTTAGCTTTAGTGTAACGTTAGACACTCATCAGTTCTACTGTGACCCTTATTCGATCCGCGACAAGTTCTATGTAACATGTGTTTACTATTTTTGCCGTATTTAGTTTAAAAAAAAAAAATTTTACTTGAAATTAATTACTTGATTATTTAATTATTAATTTTCTTCTTTCTTCATCGGTGATTTATTATGTGTAATTTTAATGGATGAAAAAATTTTTTTCTACCCTTGAAAAGTACGTTTATTTATACAATAATGGGTGTAACGGAAGACGTGGGCGTGAGTCGTCAATCCACACACGACTAATAATGACGACATGCTCAAACTGTTATTTTTAACTCCAGTCATTTTTTATATTTTTATGTTTATTTATTGATAAGTTTGTCGCTAGTCAATAGTGAAATAGATTTGTGGATTTTGGAGGCAATAAATTTAATGCGTGGGAAAAAATTTTAATGGATTCGATGCCAAAATTCATTAATTCTAATTATAACTTACAATTGTTGAACAATTGTAGGAGTATGGAGCAGTGCGATTCTTATCATGGTAATAATTTGTTGAGTAATTAGTAATTTAAGTTGTTCATGAGAATACGCTTTTAAAATAATAAAATACTTGTCATTTAAAGAAACACGCGTAAAAATTAAGAATAATAAGAAATTACAAATAATTCACACAAATTTTTTTTTCTTTTTTTTTTACACAGAGAATCATTACGACGTTCTAATCAGCAAATTGTCTAACTCCATTTTAGAGAATCTTTTACTTGTACGAAAAAAACAATTAGTTCAAAATTTATTATCTCTTTAAAAAACCATTTAATATCATTATTATCTAATAAAGATATAATATTTAGGTTTGAATCATTTAAATAATTTATAATTCGATTATGGCTAGATCAAAATGTTAAAAAATCACCCTCTAAAAAATAAGGAGTTAGACAAATTGCTAATTAGACCATCGATTAGTTTTTTCCTACACAAAATTTTTTACAGTTGACTGATTTAAAGTTTCAATATTATTTTAAACCAATTATTATATTTTTTTACACAACAGTTATTAAATTTATTTAAATTTTTATTTCTTATGATTCAAGTTAAGTTATATTCAATTTTTATTAAAAAATGAATACTGTTAATATGTGTAGGCTGAAATAATTTAATAAAAGTTAAATTATTGATTGCAATTGTAAATGAAGAATAAGAATTAATTAAAAAAATTTTTTTCTCTTTTATCAAAATATTTATTTACTTTATAAAGAGTAAAAATTTTTAATAATACTAATGTACTTTTTATATTTTTTTAATTAATAAAAAAAATTGATGTTATTTTTAAGTAATTTTTATTTAAAATTATTTTTCTATTCAGCTTGATTGAAATTTTGACGTTTTTTTTAATGCACTAAAATAAAGAGTAATTAAAAATTCTACAATCGAAATAAATTATTAAAAAAAAATATCTTACAAAAAATATCTATGCCTAAAAAATTAAAAAACTACAATTCTAAATAATTAAAAGAAATGGCAGATATTCAAAAAAATTTCAACACTCACCCAATGTAAATACTTTGAAATTACAACTCTAATTATAAATCAAATTAAATTAATTTAATTAAAAAGAAATTATTTATAAAAACGTCAGCCAAAATGTTTGCGCCGGTTACACTAATTTTTCTTCAAACAATCTCTATCTTTTTTTACCCAAGTCTTGAATCGTGTTTCCCGCGACAAATATGTAAAACCGCCTTGACCACGTGACAAAACTTAGCCTGAATGAGAGGATCTAATTGGCGGTGACTTGGTCCCCCACTCGGATGCGCGGAAGCAGACACTCTGGAGCAAATCGCGAGCGCTTCGCCCGCTTAAAAACCAGCGCCAGCAGTTTGTGTGTGAGACTTGCGCAGGAATGTTCACTCTCGTTTTTTCGTGTCAGTGAACTCGATCGTTAAAAATATGGCGATGAATGTGAGCGTGAGCACACCGCGGTCCTGTTGTAGAAATAGAGATCTGGATCGCAGAAATTATAAATTTTCTCCAAATACAAACATTATTATTTTATCAATTCATCTATCAGTTGTTTTTATTATTTTATCAGCAGTTGAAGGTACGGTTTAATTAGTTTTATAAAAATATACTCCAAGCTTGGTTATAAAAGTTATAAATAAAAAAAAAAAAACTAATAATTTCTATAATTTAAATTATTTTTCTAATTAATTTATTTTCCAGGTTAAAATAAAAACTTGCGAATGATTTATAGAGTATTGCGCATCTGTCAGAAAATTTAATTCATATATTTACCGGCTTAGATATTCATTGATTGAAGCACATAGTAGAATGGCACAAAACACATAACAGCACAGTGCACAGCTAAGCACACTGCATCTGTTCGCTCTTCACTCCGTCTCGTTCTATCTCGTCGTGCCCTCTCTACTTTCGTGTTCCGTTCATAAAATTAGACCAATGTTTACTTCCTGTTTTACGATAGGAAGCCGACGGTTCTATCTTTTTTTTCTTACATTTTTATCTCGCTCATTCATTCATTTGAGTTTTTCATCCGTTCACTCACTCACTCTCAGCTTGTGCTTTTACCTAGCTACTGGCTACTAAAAATATAAGAAGCATCATCGTAATTCTGCTTTTCTTGTAGTATATAGTACAGTGTGTAGGTATTATATTATTTTTTAATCGGTTGAGTTATCTCAATTTTGCTCTGTTTCCGTTTTAAACTTTTATCATCCAACTTAATGACCTTAGTTATAATTAACGTATTACAATTAAAAATAAAGATACAATGCACTCGGTAATTAAACTCGTATTTTTTTCAACTTCTTTATTTTTAACTTATTAAAAATGGCGAATTATACTGAATTTAATAGACATTAAACAATTTTTTAGATTTTCATATTAAAAAAAATTTAGTAAAAAAATTCCATATGTAGAAATTTTAAAAAATTATCAGTGCGGATTTTTTAAAATATTTTTTTTTTTTACAATAATTAATTTATTATAAAAATTATAAGATGTTTCCTAATTTCAGTATTATAATATCATGATACTGAGTTTAATAGACATTTAATGATATTTATAACAATTAAATTATAATAAAAAAATTCCATATGTAGAAATTTAAAAAAATTATAAGTGCGGATTTTTTTGAATATTTTTTTTTTTACAATAATTAATATATTATAAAAATTTTTAAAATTGTAAGATGTTTGCTAGTTTCAGTATTATAATATCATGATATTGAATTTCATAGACATTTAATGATTTTTATAACAATTAAATGATCATGAAAAAAATTTAATAAATAAATTCCATATGTAGAAATTTTTAAAAATTTTAAGTGCGAATTTTTAAAATAATTTTTTTTTTTTTATAATAATTAATTTGATATAAACATTTAAAAAATTGTAAGATGTCTGCTAATTTCAGTATTATGTCATAATATTGAATTTAATAGACATTTAAAAATTTTTCAGATTTTTATAACAATTAAATTATAATGAAAAAAATTTAGTAGGTAAATAAATTCCATATTTAAAAATTTTAAAAAGTTATAAGAGAGAATTTTTTAAAATGTTTTTTTTTTTTTTAAATGTTTTTTTTTTTTTTTATAATAATTAATTTGTTATAGAAATTAAAAAATTGCAAGATGTCTGTTAATTTCAGTATTAGAATGGCGAATAATTATTATATAGATACGTAATAAAATAAATAGAACTATAAAACGGTGAAGAATCAACGAAACGTGTGATTTATTCCCATGATACAAGCGATGACGAGTGTGGTGAATCATGTTGGCTTTGTTAGGGTCTTAAGAAGACCAATTGTGTACGTGGATTTCTTTTTTCAATCCTTGGTTATGATTATTATGAATAGTCCGAGTATGAGTAATTAAATTTAAAGAACTGTATGCAGTTTTAATTGATATAATTATTATTCATGATCATGATTATTGTTAATGTTATTTTGGTATTATATTATGAAGATATCTTTTTATTAATGTGAGTGTAATTTTTTTATTCTAGGAAGTACTGGTACACCTTTATCACAGTGGTACATAAGTGATGTTGGTTACGGGAATTCAAATGACGACAGTAAAACTATTTCATTGGAAAGGATTTACTTAATTACTCAGCAAAATCAAGAAAAATCTGTGCTACCAATCTCCTTGCTGCCGGTTACCGAGGGGATGTCCTCATCCCCTAAGCATAGGTAAAATAATTTAACATTTTTCATGCAATAATTTATCTAGCAAGTCAACTCTTTATAAAAGCAGATTTTGGAGGATTGATAAAATTTTATTGTAAAAAAATACGTGACTATAAAACTGTCATTTTTTATTGAAAAAAACATCCGTTTCAAGCATTGAACTTATGATATATATTTTACAACCTAAATTATAAAGAAATAAATAACTATTATTAATTTTTATTCATTATTTTGGATAATTGAAGATGAACTTCATCGCTAAGATTATCAGTCTAATTTTAACAATTTATTGTGTAATTACTTAGTCAATTAGTGTCGGTCTTAAATTTAATCGTTCGTTACTCAACAAGATAAGGAATTATTTTATTAATGATACCAGAAATATCCGATATCTTATTTTTGTTATCAATAAACAGGTGAACTATTTAAAAAAAAAATTGAGTATAAAAAATATTTAAAAATCTTTATCGAGTTTTTTCTTATAATTAGTAGCTTGTTAATTAAAATAAATTAATTATCAAGTGTCTGGTGACTGAAAGTATTCTTCTCATAAAATTTTTTAGTTAACACTCGAGTATTCTCACACATAAAATATAAACTTGTGGTTGGAATTGAAATTAGCAATAAATAGTATGATAACAGAAGGTTACATTAAGTCAAGGTGATACTGTGCGGATTATTTTAACATAAATATGTTTGCTGATATTATATTGGTTATATAACTCATACTAACTGTTATTTATTTTTTTTGAAGGTTGAAAAAGTCTGAATAAACACGGAACGTGGTTTAGTTATTTTGATATTGACCGCGGATTTACAGTATTTATTATCCTCTGAAAAATTTGAAGCCGCAAGAAAACAGTTGTTAAAGGTGTTATTGAAGCCACGCTTAATACGGCAAAAACATCTGTGATGTTCTTGCGTAAAGTGTCCAGAACTGGTACTGAGAATCCCGCAACCGGTACTTCTACCGTATAATCTTTTTTTTTCACATGGTATGGGTTATATTATCGTTCCCGCGGATTTTTTCAGCATAACCGCAAACTTTACCACGTGATAAAACTTTTGTTGAATGGGAGAATCCAATTGGTTGAAATTGACTCCCACACTTTACTTAGTGTACAACGAGCCAGAGCGCGCCGAAGCCTGGCACTCGCACCTCGAAACCGCTTTAACCAGCACCAGTTTGTATGTGAGACTTGCGCAGGAATGTTCACTCTCGTTTTTTCGTGTCAGTGAACTCGATCGTTAAAAATATGGCGATGAATGTGAGCGTAAGCACACGACGCTCCTGTAGTAGAGATCGTATAAATTTCAAATCTTTTATAAAAATATTTATTTTATCCGTTTATATGTCAGTCGCTATCGCTAGTTTGTCGAAAATTGAAATTAAAGGTACAAAGTGATTAATTCTTTAGTAACTAATAAATAAAAAAATCATTTAATTTATTTGATTAAATAATAAAATGAATCTTGGGACATAAATTTTAAAGTCTTGAATGAATTTCTAAATATTATCTCGTTTAAAGTGAAAATAAAAACCGGAGAATAATTTATTATGTATTGCGCATCTGTCAGTAGTTTTAATTCATATATCTGCCGGCATTCATTGATTGGAGCACACAGTATACTGCGTTCGTTCATTTTATATCTTTTCCTCCCTACTTTTTTTCTCCGTTCATAAACTTTCATTCATCATTATTATTAATAAAGAAAAGAAAAATATTAGAAAAAATTTCTCAAGATTACACCGGTGCTCTGTGATCTGTGATAAATAGTAGAACCCTGCACGCGAACTCGAGATGTCAGTTTCAATGGATAATATTAACCAATTAAAATTCAACGGGGTGTATACTCTTGACACTATTTTTTTTTATAAAACTTTGTAGTGTATTAATGATTATATTGACTTTGTTATAATTATGAAGAGTCATAGAGAAGTGACTGTGTAAATATTGAGGGTTAATTTAATAAGAAATTTTTATTAATTATTTTGTAGAACTATTTATTATAAATGTCAGCAAACTCTTATAATTGGTAATTTTTTTTTTTTTTTTTTTTTTTTTTTTTTATTATTATTTACTTTTTGATAAATTAAATTAATATAATACTTGAAAAATTTTATTACAAATTCATCATTTATTACAAAATGATGAATTTTTATAAATAATTAAAAAAAAAATTGAAATATTTTATTAAATAAATAAATAAATTTAATTACAGGATTCGGCAGTCCTCAACGGGACTGGATGATGCTGGGATGGACCTACAAGCAAGTCAGCTCGGTACCCGTGCTGGTCAGGAGATTAGCTCGACGGCTGCTGTATCATGGACAAACTGGAAATTGCCATTTCCTGTGATAGTCTGTGCAATTGCTGGCGCTATTCTCTTAACTTTCCTGATCCTCTTATGGCTCCGCAAGCAAATGTCGAGTGAAAAGAAGTCTAGTGATGGAGATAGACGTGAGTTGGTGGAAAAAGGCGCTGTTGATGGGTCCTCGTCCTCGTCGTCACTGGATAAGCCGGGTAAGAGTACCCAAGAATGGTCAATGGAAGCTAAATGGGTTCATCAGCCAGCTGCTAAGCCATCGTCAGTTTCCGTGCAAACAGTTCCTGTTACTAGAGCTGTCAGCTTGTCTACTGGCGGCTTAGTTTGCAATTTACCTCAAGTACTGACTGTCGCAACTCCTGAGAGACGTCCTGAACCCATTCGCATAAAGGCCAAAGGGTCTCTTCTTGAACGACGAGGCTCCAGTGCTAGTTTGACGATCGAGCTGGCCCCTGCGCCCGGCAGTCCACCCCACGTCGTCACTCCAACACGCGAATGCACCTCTGAGGAATTTCTTCTCAGCGCTGGAAACGTTCTATCCCGCATGCAGTTGAAAAAAGTCATACAAGATCCATCTGCGCTACATAAAGAATTTTGGGAGGTCCCGTTAAATTTACCAGAGAAAGTTGATATTTTTGGAGCTGGCGTAAAGAATAGATATTCTGGAGTTCTGCCAAACCCTCAATCTAGGGTTGTCTTGAGGGGATCTGATGATCCAGTCGCTAGTTACATCAATGCTAATTACATTCGGGTAAATATTATTTTAAGTTACTAGGTTTTTAATTTTACTGCTATCTTAAGAATAATTTTAAAAATTAGTAATTTTTCGTTCTTAAAATATATTATTTGTGAAAAAAGTAAATATTATTGATAAAAAAAAATTGCCTTGTAAATATCTTTATGATAATGTAGATAAATATTTATTCAAACATTTAATGATTTCTTATGTACAAAAGTAAATTTAAATTTGGTCAAATTATTTTTTTTATGAATGGAATAATTTTTATGTTATAATTAAATTTATTAAGGGGATAGCCAATGCAAAGATCGAAGAAATAGGTGATTTTCGGGAATTTTTTTGACTGGGATAATAAAGGAATTTGGGGATCGGGTTATTTTTTTTATAAAGTATACATTAAAGATTATTCTTCTAAATTTTTATTAAAAAATATCATGTTGTTAAAAAGTTATTAGCATTTTTGTGGAGAGCCAAAAAAATTTCCCCCACCACGGTGTGATCTCTAACTCAAAAACAGATTATCTAAAACAAAAAAACGAAACAGCGTTGTAATTTGCATGCATGAGGTTATCGTTGCACGTAAGGGATTTTGAAAATTTAGATTTAAAAAAAAATGGCGACATTAAAAATTTTTTCGTTTTTTTTTTCTCATTTTTTTTGGATTTAAACAGCCCTAAAAAATCTTAAAAATCAAAATTTTCAAAATCCCCCTACGTGCAATGATAGCTACTGAATAGACAAATACGGGAAAAAAAAAAGTTGCAAATCGGTTCATATTTATGCAAATTACAGTTCCCAAAAAAAGTAGTTTCAAGAAAAACGCGTTTGACATACTGTTACAAAAATTACTATAACTCGAAAAATATTCTGAATTTTCATATAAAACTTAAATTATGTATTGAGTAAAATGAGAACAATTATTAATTAATTAATTTTTTTCTTCTAATTAAAATAGGGATACGATGGTGAAAGTAATCGTTACATAGCAACCCAAGGACCACTTGCCAGCACAGTGGCAGATTTTTGGCGAATGGTATGGATGGACAAAGTATCGGGAGTTGTAATGATGACGCGGTTGTTTGAAGCAGCTAAGGCCAAGTGTGACGTTTATTTCCCACTGGAGAACAACAGCCGAATTCAGGCTGGCCCATTTACAATTACCGTCACGTCTATTACGAACAGAGACGGGTACATGATACGTGATATCGAGCTAAGACACGAGAATGAAAGAAGGAATGTTACGCACTATTGGTATGACTCATGGCCTGATCATGCAGTACCTCAAGCCGCGGATTCACTAGTCAGTTTGGCGGCCGAAATAAATACCTTGCCCGGGCCTGTGGTGGTGCACTGTAGTGCAGGGATAGGCAGAACTGGGTGTTTCATTGCTCTTGCCACTGGGATGATTCAACTCGCCCGAGATGGCAATGTTGATGTTCTAGGAATTCTCTGTCAAATGAGGTAAGCTATTATTATTATTATTTTAATTTTAATTCAAATTTACATAGTTTAAGTCTATTAGTTTATTAATAAATTTATTTATATTTAAGGTACGACAGAGGAGGAATGATTCAGACAGCTGAGCAATACGAGTTTGTACACAAAGCTCTCTGTCTGTTTGAGCAGACGCTGGATGGCAAAGTGCCAACAACCGGCGACTGAAGTGTCTAGCCAGCTAGACATTTACAAATAAAATAATATTAAATAATCAAGTTGAAGTGGCGAGTGACCTGATTATCATTTAATTGCTCGCGGATTACTGAGGTAAATATTTACGTGGGTTGAATTAATATTGATAATAATAATAGTAACGATAATAAGAATAATATTAATATTAATAATAATAATTATAATATTAAGTATCTACTCGCTGGATGAAATGTCACAACTCTTCTTCTTCTTCTTCTTCTTGATTTTAATAACAATGTACAACATTGAAAACAAAATCAATATCCATCGTCGTCTTAATGATGTATAACTTCGTTAAAATTAATCAGACGATTATAAATCTCGTCACTTGTTAAGCTGCCATTACTATACTGCCACTAACAAAAAATATACACAACTTTATTGTAAAATATACATTTTACTATTGACGATCATAAATATGATTTAAAAAAAAATGGCTCAAGTAATCGAGATTATTATATGAAAACAAGAGACGCGACTAGATGGTATTTTAATTGTATGGTATGACTTCCTTAAATCTATGATCCGATACTCGACAATATGATATGAATATATTATATATAATATATATATTTATTTTTAATTATTTAATTAGGTCATTGCTGGCAACAATAGATTATTTGTAATTGAAATTTTTTTTTTAACTATTCCTAATCGCGGATCATTAATTATTTATACTTTAAATGAGAACCTTTTAGCATTAAATAATTTAAAAATTCCGACGTGAAAACAATGGTTTTCTTCACAATTATTTATATTTATTTATTTTGAATTTATTTATTAACAAAGACTGAATGCTACTAGTACAATGTGTTTCATTAATAAATTGTTAAAAAAATAAAAAAAAAAAGATATAAAGATAAGTTAGATTGTGCAAGTAGCATTGATAATTAAAAAATGTACGATTTATTCAAAATAATGAAACTATCAGATCTGAGAATATATATTGAAGACATTAGTAATTAATAGTAATATTCTAAGTTAATGAGTATAAATGTATAAAAAATATTTTTCAAATTAATCCATTTTTTTTATATTAGTCATTTTAAATTGTTAATTACTAGTGTCTTTGTAGTGTGAAAAAAAAGGCAGAAAAAGTGAGCTTTTAACTCGCTTAGAATATATAAATGTATAAATCACAAATCTCAGAGCTATATATTATAAAAAAAAAAAAACAATAAATAAAAAATTATAAATTATAAAACTAAGATGTCTTAATATAAATATTATAAAAGATTAATTAATACACAATATCGTTGATAAAAATTAACAAAATTGACTCAAAGCTGCTTATGAATTTTATAGTCTCTGTTGACAAAAAAAAAAATTATATTTAATTTTGTTCATTCCAATTTTTAAGTATGCTACGAAACAGATTCACTGATAATAGTGCTAAAAAAATTGAATCTCAATGCTTGTAATAATATTGTACGTGTAATTTTATCTTTCATATCCCTACGTGCCTAAAAAAAATTAAGAAAAAAAAATAAAAAAATACTGAAACACCGATAAATTATTATTTAAAAGGCCTCAACGATTATTAAACTATTATTAATTTTGTATTTTATCTTTGTTTAATTATTTAAGTTATTTAATATTGATTGAAAATAAAAATATATTACGCTAAGTAACTGCTAGTATAAATATAAAGTATAAAATAATGATATTGATGAGCAATTAATCAGCGCGTGTGTATTTTGTGTTCAGCGAGCGCAAGTATGTGATATAAATGTGTAAAAAAATTATAATTATATATTGTACAGAGAGCGAATTATATTTGTGAGTGTAAAAGAGTATATATACAATAATTGTGAATCTAAAATTAAAAAAAAAAGCAAACAAATTAATAACAATAATATTATTTATTAAAACTACACAAAATCATAGTTGATTCAATTAATTGTATTTAATATTATAATTATACATACATATAAATTTAAAAAATAATTATACTAGTAACCTTTTGGTGTTCAATTGTACTTACGTGACTCATAAATATTTATAGTATCCAAAAATTATTTATTATTATTATACTTAATTATTAGTTAATAATTCCTTAAATTTAAATGGCAGTGCGCATGCGCGCCTGTTTTATCGATTTCAAAATTTCATAAAGCTGTAAAGTGGCGCCACCTAACTTAATAATTTCAAAGTTAGCGCGACAAACCGGTTCTTCTTATATACAAATTTTTAATTTTTCTTCCATGCGGTATCTTCAGAAGAAAAAAAATAAACATAAATCTTCCATCTTTAATGCAAGATACAATGACATCAAATCATAACTTATTAATATTAAGCAAAAACAATAATTAAACAAATTAAAAAGTAAAAATGAAAATAATCTATTCAACTAAATAGTCACTGATTGTTGTCCTTCTCAGCTTCTATTATTCACATCAAAAGCAATCAGTCTTAATATTTATTTATTGTAAGTGTATAATAGTGCATTGTGTGTGGTGGAGTGTACAGTACAATACCAAAGAATCACGTGATCACATGGCTCTGTATTCACAGTGGTTATTTGATGAACACGCAAGTGTATTCGGTGGGATGGTGGGGCCGTCAGAGTTGTATCGTGAACGTGCAGCAGCCTGTGTCGGTTAGCGCACATTGGCGCATCATACTGTCAAGAAAATAATATCAAAAAAATTTACATTAATTTTTTAACAAAATAACATTTTTTAAATTAAAACATTAAATTAGTATTTTTCTGTTTTTGCTTTACTGGTTACCAGTCAGTTTAAATCGGTCTCGGTGTTTATGCACGTCTCCAGTGGTGAATACAATGTCAATTGTAATTATGAGTGCGCTGAAGAAAGAAGAAATGGAAAAATTAAATGAAAAAATAAAATTATAGTGTAAAAAAAAGTGTAAACGACTTGAAAGCTAACCAGCTAGTGACTTCCGCTCTAGACGGTGGTTGTTTTAACTATGCAACTTGTTCTCCTGGTCCTGGAGAACTACTTGTATATACAGCGGACCCACTAGACTTACTCGTGACGTTTATTTTTAACGTTGTGGTATGCTGGAAACTTGATCTGATGCTGTTATGTACTAATTTCTTAAAGTCGTGGTTATTGTTATTGTTATTTATATTTATATTATTTATTATTTATAAATATACAATAAAATAATAAATTGTGATAACGGTTAATGCTGGTTATGTTGTGCGCGCCAAATGAATTATAAATAAAATGACAAATGCTGGCATTGATGATATGATGTGAATTTTAAATTGATATACTGGTTTTGTTCTAACACGTTTGTTTAAAGTTATCGATTATTTATAAAATATCAATTAATAATTATCATTAAAAATACAGTACAATAAGTGGGATAAATATCAATTGAGAAAAGAAGACAACTATTGAGTTGAGTTTTAAATCTGAAGAATGGATTATCATTTAAATTACCTTGGAGGTCTTTAAGATGTTGGACGGGTTGAAGAGAGTAGACAACCAACAAAATGGGACCCGTTGAGATCCTAAAGGGATCCTGGATCCCAACTACGGAGGCATGGATGTCATTGGGGACGGTGACGAGCAAACCCTCCAGGCTATTCTCGGTAATTATTAATATTTTTATTAACAATTAAACTTTTATTTGCAGGTAAAATATTAATGAGTAGATTAGTTTTATTTATTGATAATGATAATTAATAAAAATATAAAAAATAGGCGATGAAGTGAACACTATTTTTTATTTTGATTGGTGCCAATGACTTGTACGAGCGAGTTCAGGGCATGTTTCACCAGTCATTGACCTTTATCGTGATCAGAATTAAGGTGGATATTGAATACGACTAATGGAAAGCGCCGTGGCATGGTAATAAAGTCACTGAGTTGTTCTAGAAGGCTCCTTTTTATTTTTATAAGCCTTCTAACCATTGAGATGTCGCTGATTATTATTATTATAATTATTAATATAATAATTTGTAATGAAGATAATAATCATGACATTATGTGCGAATTACAAGAGTAAGTAAAGAAGAATTTAAGAGACAGAGACGGTGAGAGTTTGTGAAATTGAGGAAGAAGAAATTTAAAAAGAACTCTTGAGTAACACAACTTTGCTTGGATATATAAGATATAAGTATGGAGACTTTATTTTGAATTTACTGACTGACTGGTACTCCTTCCACCACCACTACTGCACTTGTACCACCACAGTGCACCGTTTAAGCAACGTTTCACTTCATGACAACTACCAGCTCAGCAATGACGACAGAACAGTTGCATCGGCAAAATGCATCAAAACAATTTCCGGTGGACAGTTGAATTTATTGCTATCAATAAATGACATTTTAAATTGCTTAACTAATCTACTACAAACACATCTTCAGTCATATTATTCAATAAATAATATAATAAGTCAATTAGAAATAATACATAGTTCAAATCCGGATGTTAATTTAATTATAATAAATTTTAGAAACATTTTTTATAATTGTCAAAATATTTAATAATACTTCCTGTTAAGTGTATACTGAGTTTAATACCCTACTTTTATTTTAAATTCACATTAATATTTACTTCCCGGTTTGGATTGTTATTGTTACTATCATTATTATATTATTCTATTGACGAAACAAAAACTCTCAATTCAAATACCTGTTACGCGTACTGTCATGTCTAGTATTTTACTATGCGCAACAAATAGTTCTACTGTCCACTATATTTATATGTAAATACATAACATTCTTCTTGATTCATACTTTAATAATATTTCTTCACACTAAAAATTAAAAAAAAAAAAAAGTAAAATTATCCAATAAATTTTTGGAGTAAAAATTAAAAAAAAAAAATAACTTGGAATTTATTACACTATGCAATAAATAACAACCGACACACGATTGGTACAGATGATATTTACCATGTAAAAAAGGTCTTGTTTTTTAAGTAACATTGTAATGTAATGTAACGTTGGAGATGTATATGCCTGATGACAAAGGGTCAGGAGTGGAGAATGAGATA